TATATATATATATATATATATATATATATATATATATATGGATATAGATTTCCAGAACAATGCACATCTGATAGCTCTCTTTTCCCTTGTTTTTTTTTTTATGAATACCTTGCAAATTTTCTATAATCTTAGTGAAATGAAAATTGAAAAAAAATGTTATTTTACTCTTCATTTTATATGGTGCCCAATAAGGACATTCTTATACCTGCCTGTTATAACTATTGGAAAGGATTCATAAAAACCACAATGTCGCACTTTAATTTCTCTAAGTAAAATCTTAAGTGAATCACCCTAATATTAAAGAAAATAGAACATTATAATTTAACTTAAAAAATTTGTATTGTTTAGATTTTCAAAATATTAAGCTAGGGTTTCAGTCAACTGTTAAAATAGGAGTTTCTTCTACGGTTTTTCCAGACTTCAGACACATTCAACCAATGACTGTAGATAATAGAGTTTAACTGCCCAGTCAAAATAAAACAATGATCTAGATCTACATTGTCTGACACAGTAGCCACCAGTAAAATGCAGTTATTTAAATTTGAATTAAAATTAAATTACAATAGTTCCTCATTCACACTAGCTATATTTCAAGTACTCAATAGCCACAATGTGGAGAGTGACTATTATGTTGGACAGTGTAACTAGAGAACTATTCTGAGATAGCAGAAATTCAACTGGGCACTGATTCCTAGACTTTAGTTCAGCCCTAATTCTCAACATCTTTTCATTGTGTCTCTTCAATCCCCACCATACTAGAGTCTTGCAGACCCTTACTCTCTACCTATACCATTTGTTTTCAACTTAGGGTAATTTTGTCCTGCAAGGGACATTTACAACATCTGAAGATATTTTTTTTTGTCACAGTTGGGAGCAGAGGAGCTATGAGCATGTTGCAGGTAGAGGCCAGGAAGCTGCTAAACATTATGCAATGCAGAGTACATCCCTCTCCAGCAAAGAGTTGTGTGTCAATAGTGCCAATGCTGAATTTGATACATATTCCTTTAAATTGTTGTCATATAAGGCAGGTTCCATGCTTTTTTTTTTCTCACTGTGATACACACACACACACACACACACACACACACACACACACACATACACACACTTAAGAATACAGGGAGATCTAAAAGAAAGGTAACGTTAGATGAATAAATCAAGATACAGAATAGCATAAATGATATAATTCTAGGTATTTGATGACAAAATGTTGTGAATATGTACATAGTAGGTTGTCAATATGGGTTACCTAAGAGAGTGTCATTGTCAGAAGAAAGGACAGAAGAAAAGTTAAATATGTAAAACTTATGTTATGACTTATAATTATGGTGAAAAGTTCTATTTTAATCATTTATATGATGGAGCATGTAAGAACTAGCTCAAATAAAGCCAATGAAAGGAAAGCTGTAAGCATGTGAAGACTCTATTATGCATGTGAAGACTCTATATTAATTTAGTATTTGCATTCTAGAAGAGAAAGAGTTAATAAGTGAGAAAAACAATGCAGTTTCATACAGTGATAAGTCTTCTGAAGAATATTAACAATTAGGAAATAGGTAAGGGGAGATAGTCCTGAGCTCAGGAAAGATGTCAGGGCTTGGAGAAGTAAATTTGGGATTCATCTAGGTACAGATGGTATAGAAAGCAACATGATTAGATGTGGTGTCCTAGGGAGTGAGAGTAAGGAAGAGAGAGTTGAAGACTGAATGCTGACATCTATAAAATAAAACATGGAAAAGGAGACCACAGAGATGAATGAGACAGAAATCACACCAGAAAAGAAAAAGGAGCATTGTCTTTAAACATTAGTGTTGAGGGAGATGAGGACTAAGGGTTTACCAATGAATTAAGCAATGAGAAGCCTGCTGGTGATATTCACAAGAACAAGAGAAGTCAGGTGGCAAGGATAAAAGCCTGTTTGTGATAAGCCAAAAAGGGTAGAGTGGAAATAATGGGACAACTCTTTCAGAGTTTTACTGTAAAGTCTGTTGCAGAGGTGGTGCAGAGAAATAGGAAAATGAATGAAGAGGGGCAATGGGATATAATATGGTTGAATGTTTTTGTCCCATCCAAAACTGATGTTGAAACTTAATCCCAAACATAGCAGGATTAAGAGGTGTGGCCTTTAGGATGTGTCAGTCTCATCTCATGCATAGGATTATAAAAGGGCTTGACAGGAGTTTATCCCTCTTTGGATCTTGCCACCATGAAAGGATATGGTGTTTCTCCCTTCCGAAGGATTCAGCAATAAGGCACTATTGTAATGCAGAGAACAAGGTCTTCCAGACACTGAACCTACTGGCACCTAGATCTTGGACTCCAGAGCTGTGAGAGATAAATGTCTATTCTTTATAAATGACCCAGTCTCAGGTATTTTGTTATAGCAGCACAAATGGAAAAAGACAAAATCAATGGAGGCTTTTTGAAAAAGGTATTTATCAAATCATGTTTGTATGTAGATTCTAATAACCAGTAGAGTGAGGAAAACCTCTGATACAAAAGAAAGAGGAGGGATCATTGTAAGAGAAAACTCAACAAGAAATGTGAGAAAAAAGTATCTGACATGTAAGACAAGGGTTAGGCCTAGGTTAAAGAAGAAACAACTAGATAGGTGATTATCCTTGAAACACTCATCAATATATCATGAGAAAGTGTTTCTTCCTAAGAGTAAGTAGTATTTGGAGTTATTCCACTGCACTTGATTAAAATAAGTATGGATTTATATCACAGCATCTGTGGCATAGCCAAAGATCTACAGCTTGCAACTCCAGTCAAGAAAACAATGAATTTGCATGATGAGAGACACCCTCTACATTCTCTATACATCCCGTTATCTGTATTCCCTAAAATTATAGACTAATGATGATGAGGAGATAAATAAGTTAAAGGCATAAGCAAATTAATGGAGTGATGTGCATTACTAAGAAAATTGCCATTTAAAAAAACACAAAATCTGAGGAATGCCTATTCATGTTTTAGAAGAAAAGAGAAAATTTATATTTAAATCAGAAAAACTTCATTCTTATAATATTTACAAATAAATGACATTTCTACTATAATAGCTATTTTAGCACGTAGCAAGTAAGATATAATCTTAAAGTTACTGATAATCAATGCATTCCTCATTTTCTTAAAACTCATGCTTACAAGGACACCAGCATGTTTTAAGATTCATCTGAAATGAGGAAAAGAAAGCCTCTCTGTTCTTGGACTTTTTTATGCTTAAAACTAGGGATTTCTTGAGCCTTGCCAACACAAACAGGACACAAATAGCAGCTAGAAATATAGCAATCTTTTGCCACCAGTTTGTAATAGCAAGTGTTAGAGAAAGCCAAGATTTTTTCAGTATCTATAAATGCAAGTACAAAACTATTCAACCAAAAAGTTCGTGTAAACCTGTTAAATACAGAAATAATAAACAAATTTTTAATAAAATCAATTTCCTTCTATATATAATCCTTTTATCTGCAATTATGAATTAAGCCACATTTACTTGTATACATAATTTTGTACTTACAAAGACAAAAATATACAAAGATAGCTTTCAAAGATGTCTGAAAATATTAGACTTACAATGTTTCTATGACATCTACTTTCTCTACATATCTAGCTTTCTTCCTATCAAGAACAATAGGCTGATTCAGAAATCTTTAATGAACCCAGGAGTAAGAAATCATGATCTTTCCTTTCTTAACAGCTGAATAAAGTAGCTCAAAATCAGAGCAAAATATTGTCTTACTCAGCAATATTGTTCTGGTAAAATTTCTTTAATATCTAGTGATTCTTAATTGAAACTTGTCTTTTACATAAAAGAAAAACATCCAAATTAATATTTTGATCATATTTAAATGCTTAGTCAGAAGACTGATGGCCCAAGAAATCAAAGCTAGAAAATATTATCACCAAAACCAAACTGTACTGATATAACACATATTTTAAGTTCAGCGAGCAAAACATGAATTCACTTGAATTTTATAACCATTATCTGCTGATAAATCAGTCTAACACCTTGGTTTTGAACAAAGTTTTGTATTAAAAAATAGTGAAGTGGATAATATAATATGAATACATAGAGAAAAGTTCCCATAGAAACAGGCAGATTTTAAAAACTGACACAAGAGTTAAGAGTTAGTTGTCATTTTCATGCATTCTGACTCATTTTTTGTGTGTGGTATTTTTCTTATTTAGTCAAATTGAAAGGCTTACCATCTTGCTGGCCATGAAGAGTCTGGGGACTTTGCATTCTCTCTTCAAGATTGGAGCTAAGATCAGAGTTCACAGCTGACATCCGTGTTGAATCACTCATGTCAAATTCATCACTTTCTATTGAACTTTCATCCTGAAAATAGTTTTAAAATATCATCAAGCATTTTTAAATATAATATATTTAAATAATAACCATTTTATCTACTCTGTCAATTGGAGTTTATCCAGTAAGTTTATACGGAATTCAGAAAAGTATGTTACAAACTAATAGATGTTTAAAATAACAAATAATAGAATAATTGCTCCCTTCAAGGAATTTCAAGACTAGTGAAATAATATGTCCCAATGTACATCAACTTTTTAAAGGTAAAATATATATATTTAAAGACAGTACAGTTTAGGAATTAGCCTGTATAAAGAATGAATTTTATAGTAAATAACTTCTAAAAGAGTTAATCATTAAATATAACATAAATAGAAATACAAGTTTTGGTTAAAAACTAAATGACCAAAAAATATGACAAGGAAAAAATCTTAGAATGTAAAAAGAAAGGGCCATATAAAATTTTTTCATTGGCAAACAGGATAGATCCTAATATAGCAAATTTACATATTAGGTTCAAAGTCCACATGTAATGGAGAGCAAGGTAAACTTAGTATACCCTTTCTTTCTTTACTAGCGAATATAAATTGCATGGCAACCACAAAAAGGAGATCTAGGTAAAATTGTGCATGGAACTTTTACTAAAAGTCAGTTCATAAAATGGCTAAATTACCAAAAGGCCAGTTTGCCGAATGGCCAATTCATCAAAATTTTTCAAATGTGAAACAAAATCTAGGATATATTATTGCAGTCATTTTACTGAAGCAAATTCCTTTTGCAGAACTGATTTTTTGGACAAATGGTATACTTATATAGGCAGGAAGGCCTGAGAAACCTGTATAAAATGTAAATGTTTAATCAAAATCTCTAGCTTGGCTTTAGTTTGTAAATGTTTGATCTGAACGTTTAACACTAATATAATAATCAGTAGTAGTAGTGCTGCTATTTATGTTACACATGTTCTTTATATTTTATCACAACTATTAATTAGCTACAAATTCACAAATAATTTATAGATGAAGAAACTGAGGCACAGAGAAGTCATTTTCCCTGATATTATATACCAGAACCAGGAGTCATATGAAGTCATCCAGACTTGAAGAAACAGTATCTTTGAATAGGAAGAATTACCTTGGTTTCATAAATGACATCTTGGCATCAGCAAAGAAGTTTCTATGATGAATGGAGAACATTCTGGTAGACTAATAAATTGGCATTCTGATTCTTATTTCAGGCTCAGTGTCTTTCACAGTGGTGTCTTTCCTTTACCAAAAATTTGGTCATGCTTGGGCACACTGAGTAGCACCAGCTCTTCATAAATTAGTAAGGAAATGGCACTGTGTTAGATCTCTGGACAATCAGCCACATACACTTCTCTTGGTTGACTCCCCTCTTTTGGTACATTACACTTACTCCATTCTAAGTTCTAATGTGTATGTGTGTGTGTGTGTGTGTGTGTGTGTGTGTGTGTGTGTGTGTGTGTACATGTAATTTATCATCATAAGTGGCTTAATAATTGAGAACATTTTAAATATTTTCCTCCATGATTACATATATACATACACACACACACAGAAGCAAAAATAAGAGATTTCAATGTGAATTTACATTATCAGTGATGACAATATGGACTTGTTATTAAAGTGGATCATATGCAAATGCATACATATATACACACATTGATAGATGATGTAATATCTGTTACAAACACTATATATACTTTCTGTGATGTCATGGTATTTTAGAGGATGTTCTCAGAAGCCAGACTTCCTACATTCAGGTCCACCTTCTGCCAGTTATTAGATATGCTACCTTAAGCAAGTTACCTAAACTTACTGTGCCTCAGTTTCTTTATCTATGCAATGGAAATAAAAATAGTGCCAATCTCACAGAGTCATATGAGGAGTCAGGGCATGTACTATATTTAAGGTATCTAGAACAACGTCACCTACATGATAAGCACAATATAACTGTTTAATAATACTCTATGGAATATACAATAACTACAGTATATAAAGTTATGCACATTTATTAGAGTATATGAACTTATATAACAAAATATAATACATTTAATATAATGGTAAACACAAAATGTGTTACTAAAGTAGCTGTATGTTTACATAAACACATAAACAGTTTTTATACGTGTTTGTTACAAAGGTCACAAAAACGCTAACTATAAGTAATTTAGTAAAATATTTATATGCATATAAATATGTAAAATATATGTATATGAGGATATGTGTGTGCGGGCGTGCATGTGCGTGTGCATGTGCGTGTGTGTGTGTGTATGTGTTTATGTTTAAAGAAGAGCTAAATATAAAGATCCAGGTCACAGCCCCTGTTTTATGAAATGGTTGTACAAACAGCTACAGCATATTACGGAAAATCAATATATTTTTTATCACCACTAAATGATACTCTTGCCAGCATACATTTTAATAAATACAGACAAGAGATTAAAATGTCTACATAACCAAACGTACAGTTATATAGTTTTGTAATTTAAAAAACACCGCATCAAATTATATATCATTATAAGTGGCTTAATGATTGAGAATATTTTAAATATTTTCCTCCACCATTACATATGAAATATAATTTATCTTCACAACTCTATTCCTTATTAGAATTCAATTATCATACATTTATAAAGAGCTTTAATGAGACTAAGTGCATATATTCATTCTGTATATTCTATTCTAATTAATAATTGATTACATTATTGTTTTTATTAAAAGTTAGCAAAGGTATATGAAATATTAGCTTGTGGTTTTTTTTACCAACACAGAGATAATACTAATTACACTAGGAAGAAAATACTGAAGACTTCTAAGAGTAAGGAATCAGAAAACTTAACTGATATGATATTAAATATTTTATTCATGATTATCTTTAGACCATTCATCTAATACCTTTCCTATATGGTATCTATTTTGTATGACAACCAGAAAAAACTCTCCACATTATTCAGTGTGAGCTTATTTCTTATATGACTAAAATCATGAGTCATGGCCAGCGACTCTAGTAATTCTGCCTCCTTGAAACTTAATGTTTTAATATTAGAACACTTTAACTGTAACAAATAATTTTCTTTACAGTCTTTTCCCTTTTAAACATGGCACTTATTTTTCAAAAGCTTTGTTATTGAGCTTTTATTTCTATCTTCAGAAGTTGCTTGAAATGGAGACCCCCTAACCTGCTCCATATTTCATTTTAGTTTCCAAGTTGCAGATTTTATCTCTAAAGGATCTCTACCATGTACCTCCTGATTTCCACTGCTATTGTCCTGCCTTATTACTTTAAAATTGTATTTTTCCATTTCCTGAACTATGTAGTAATAGTCTCCCAGTTAACTTACCCGCCTCCAATTTCTGTACACCAGCCCTGCCTATTAACTATTGCCAAATTAATCTTCCCATTTCCGAACATATCACTTTTCTACTCATAAATTTGCAGCCTTATCCATTGCTTACTAAATAACGTGTAGGCTATTCATCAAACATTTAGGGTTTCCCATGAGACTGCTTGAAAACCACTGCCACCAATCTTCTCTTTCTGTTGATTTTTTAAAACTTATTGTGTGCTCAAATAAAATTAAAGCTTATGTTATCAGCATCTCTCCAAAATTCATCATCTCAAACCTCAGTGTGCATGAGTGTAGGTCCTGTTAAAAGTTCATATCTTCAGGTCCCACACATCAGACCTAGCATTAGAATCTTTGGGGTGGAGTCCTGCAACATATAGTTCAATGAGCTATTTAATGCCGGCTATCTGCCCAGCCCAGTGCTGTTCAAGAAAACATTGTACAATGACAGAATTGCTCTATAATATTATCTATTGAATAAGGTAAATACTAGTCATATGTGGCTAGTGAACATGTGAAATGTGGTTAGTATGACTTAAGACCTGAATTTTTAGTTTTAGTTAATTTTAATTAATGTTCAGTTAAACTTAAACATTCCCATGTGACTAGTGACTACCATATTGGGCAGTGCGTATCTGACAATCCTTTATTGTGAGATCTTGAAAATATACTCAGTCATTCACTACTAGCAATACAGTAAACACCTTAATAGATAAATTGTTTCATATATCACATCCCTTAGGGTAAAATTCTAGTCAAGCAATATAAATATATTTGCAAAGTTTTTAATGATTATCATCAAATTATCCCCCAGAAAGTTTGTTCGAGTTTAAACTCTCACCAATAGTTTATAAGAATGTCAAATGATCTCATATTGGACACAGTATTTTGTAAAATCTTTCTGAATGTGGTAAGCCTCAAATAACAAGTTAATTCATTAAAATTGTATTTTGGCTAATAAAGGAGGGTGAGGTTTTTTTATGGTTATTGACGATGCAGTGATAATTTTCAAAGATAGCTACCATGGATCCCTTCCCCTCCCCACTGTCCTTTGCATGCCACTCCTCATCAAGGAATAGTATTTCTTCTCCCCTTGAAACTAGGCTGGTTTTTTATTTGCTCTGGTCAATAGAAATGTGGCGGAAGCAATGCTGTGTCAGTCCCAGAACAACAGGGAGCTTCTACTTCCTGTCTCTTGGAAGCCAGCTGCCACATAATAAAGCTGCCAGATAAGAAGTCTGACTACACTGAGACCAGCATACTGTGAAGAAGCATAAGTCAGGCAGCCATATGGAGGGAGAGTGAGAGGTCACATAAAGGAGCATAAAGGGACACCAAGCAGCCAGGTATTTAAGTGAGGTTTTCTTGGACTATCCAGCCAGATCCAGCTACCAGTTGAATGTCACTGAGTAAATGATCCTGGCCAGGAGTAACAAAATAAATCACCCAGAGGTTCTTGGCTAACTACTTAACCCATAGAATAATAATTATTAATTCATCATTGTTGTATTAAGCTACCAAGTTTTATGGGTGGTACATAGCAATAGAAAACTGAAAACCATCTCATTTCTGACATTTGGGCTACACCATAGCACTCTATTTACATTGCGTTGTTTCTTAAAAACACAAATAGTTAATACTAATTTTAAGTGGATGTGTTGCG